ACAAGTCAGCAAAACCTAGAGTGTACATTTCATTTTTTATACTCATAACCCAGGGATCTTTATTCTCTACCATATCTTGATAACATACACTCAAAATACAATTATTACTTTTTCTTAATTTTAACCAATATTTTAATAATCTGCGCTTTGTGTATATATCTAGTGGTATTCTACCTAACTCATAATAAACAGCACTATTGCAGGTATTTTTTCTTACACCAAGTATTCTTTTACAAAAATTAATATGTACTCTTTCAACATCTGGACCTTTATGAAAACCCCAAATTTCAGCTCCATAGCATAACACACTTTTAACATAAGTATCAAAAACATTGATCTGAGTCTCAACATTGAAATTTAAATCTTTCATCTTATTATAAATACTAAACAATGCCTTGTTACCTTGTGTTGCACAGTGCTTCTGTGTAGATAAGAATTTACCATTATAGTTAAATAATAATCCTAAATAATTAAATTGATTTACAACTTCCACATTTTTACCATCATATGTCCATTTTTCTTCATCTCTTACATGCTTTCCATTTCTAAAAACTACAATTTTCGTTTTTTGTACATTTACAGTTGAATTCCATTCTTTTGTATAGCTATACAGAGTGTTTAACATTTCTTGTAAACTTTCAACTGATTCCGCTATTAAAACTGTATCATCTGCGTACATTATTAAAAACAAATTAATCATTTGAAGTTCAACTGAAGCACAATTATTTTCAATAACATGTCGTTCAAAATCATTTAGATACATGGAAAATAATACAGGCGATAATATTTCCCCCTGCAGAACACCCGCAGATATACGAAATGTGTCAGTCAATGTACCTTGGTGTTTTATACAGGCCCTAACATTCTTATATAACGACTTAATAATACGTAACATTTTTCCTTGTATACCCTCTGTTTGTATCTTGTACCATAACTTAGATCTGTCAATTAAATCAAAAGCTTTTGAATAATCTACAAAGCAACAATATAATCTCTTTTTGTTTCTCAATGTCTTGTTAATTAAACTTTGTAAAATAAAAATAGCGTCAATTGTACTTGCACCTGGCTTAAAACCAAACTGAGCGTCTGTAATAATATTATATTTTTGGTCCCATTCTAACAATCTATTATTCAAAATACACGTAAATAATTTCGCTAGACAGCTAACCAAAGTTATGCCTCTGTAATTATTTGGGTCATGTAAATCGCCCTTTTTGAAAATTGGTACAATGCATCCCTTTGACCAGTTATCTGGATACATACCAGAATCAAAAATATTGTTAAATAATTTACATAGAATAGGAATCATAACTTCTTTACATTTAATAAAAAAATCATTAATTACACCATCATCTGCGTTACTCTTGTTACATTTGAGTTTCAAAATTGCTTTCTCAACTTCTAATTCCGATATACACGTATCTAGTTCCTCATAACACGAAGTTGAGGGGTGTTCAACACTGTCGTCAGCAACGTTAGATTCGTTCTTGTTCTCAAAAACACTCTTAAAATGTTCAAAAAATTGATCTGCTGTTATATCATTTTCTAGTTTTTTGTTATTCTTAGATAACTTAAAAAATTGTCTTGGGTTATGCTTTCTTAAATATTCCATGTTATTTCCCTGGTATCTTTCATAGATGTGCCTATATTTCTTTGCAGTTTTTTTAAAATCACGTCTCTTATCACAAAGTGAGTTTCTATTCACAGAACATTTATTAGTATTAAATATGTGTAGACTTCCTTTATAGTCTTTATATTTAGACTTACAGATGTCATTAAACCAGGGTTTATCATTACCTATTTTCCGATCTGTTTGTACAAGACCGTCAGTGACTTTACAAAAAGGTGTCATGATATCACACAATGTCTTACTGAAATTCTCCACAGAGATATCTACCTCATCTTGTGTATTGAATGATTTATCGACATATGAAAGAAAAACATCCTGACTTTCTCTTATTGTACTAATAGCATCAAGATCAGAACCTTCTTTCCATTTGACTGATTTACATAAAATCCTAGATTCATATTCATTACCTATTTTGGTATTTTCAGTATACTCGACACATATATTTAAGAAATTAGTTTTTATGACAAAAGTAAGAGGTGCATGGTCAGAAAAAATATTAAATTTCCCCGTCTGGAAATTAAAAACAGTATCTAATGTATTCATGTCCGTCAATAAATAATCTATAGTGCTTGTACCGTTTGCATTAAAAAAAGTAATATTGCCATTACAATCATTTTCCATTCTACCATTAGCAATGCGTAATCCTGTAGTTTGACACAAATTTATCAATTTTTTACCAAAATTATTAATTTCTTTATCCATACTAGATCTACCAATTTCGTTTGCATGCGTCGTGTCGTAGTTTACCAAAAACTGTATATTATTCGCTAACGATTCTTCCAATACATCGTTTAGAATAAAATCTTCTAGATTTCCACATCTAGCATTAAAATCGCCTGTGACATATACGCAACCTTTGTGGTAAAAATCAGAATAAGATTCTTCAAGATATTGAAAAAAATCAACATTTTCTTTTTTATAGAATACACTGTTTTCTGGCGGTATGTAACATGCAGCAATAAAGACTGGTTTACAATGCACGTTCAACTTATTTTCAACTTGTAGCCACACCACGGAGTTACAAAATTGATCAGCTACCGATATTTTTATATCCAAAATGCTTTTAACAAAAATTACAACACCACCTCCTTTTCCACTTGTTCTTGGAAAAGTGTAACTATCATAACATTGTAATGCCAAATGATCATTATTTGTTATCCAACATTCTAACAAAATGATTATATCATACGCTTTTATAATATCAACAAATTCAAGATCGCCCAACTTAGTTTTTAAACCTTTGTTAACATTCCAGGATATAACAGATAAGTTGGGGTTTCTACTCCCGGACCTGTCCTAGTAACCAGAATGCCCACCAGCTGCATTCGCGCTCGATACCACCGAACTGTACTCTCTACCTTGATCCGAAAACTGAGTATGACTACCGCTGTAAGGCTGCTGTCCGCCGTCATAATGACTTGTGCGCGAGTTATGTACCTCTCCATTATATGGATGCTGATGCATATCTCTTTGGGGCTGAGGATATCTCTCCACACGTGCTTCATAAGATCGCCTTTGTACATTCATATATGGTGTATTTGTTTCCTTCGGTCGCGCATAACTGTCTAATGCTGTTGAATGTGTGTCCATCGGACGCGTGTGCCTATCTGTATCTGTCGCGCGTGTTTCCTTAGGATGAATATGTCTGTCCTACCTTGTAAGTGTGTTTCCATGGGTCGCATATTTGTATCCGTTGAACGCGAGTGTCTATCCAGTGGCTGAACGTTTGTGTCAGTAGGTCGTACGACTGCGTTTCTTTGTTGTAGTTGCGTAGACTGCCCTCCCATTAGCTGTGCTTGCCCAAAGTTGACATTGTCGGTCCTATATGGTTTATCATTTACATATAGACGATCTTTTACAAGCTTTGTTCTGTGTCCTTGATTTCGTAGCTGCTTCATGATAGGGTAAATTTGTTTCCTACGTTCCTCAATAGCGCTGGGGAATTGTTCATAGATACCATATCCTGATCCTTTTAATCTGTACGCTCTTTCCAAAAGACTGACTCGTTCACTTTTGTAAAGAAATTTTGCCACAATTGGTCTGTTTAATGTAATACATGTATTATCCATAGTCAATCTTGACTGTTGCTTTATCATGTTGGAAAGAGTTGTTTTATTATTCAAAGGAATATGGTGTTAAACAAATGTTTTTTTTTTTTTTTAACTAATTCAAATTAATATATAATAGTTAAAATTAAATCACGGCAATAAATTCCAGTCAAAAGAAAGGTAAATAGAGGGTAAACATCATTGCTTTATTTATTCTTTAATGACAACTGAGTCAGTATAATAACAGCACATTTTTATGTTTTAAGTCCAGATTTATTTCTTTTTTATGATGTAATCATTTAAAATAAAGACTTGCGCGAAAAAGATCACTGCTCAATGACCCCAAGCGTCGAAGTTTGGTCTAAATTTGCAGTCCTCCACCAGAATTAGTGATGTTTCCATATTTAAATGAAAAATTCTCGAGAGGGAACAAACACCTTTCGAAGACAAAGATCTATAGGATTTTTTATCTTATATCTTTGTTTTATTTACTACAGATTGGTAAAATGGAGGACCTCACCGAGAAGAAGTATGATGCTTTGACAGTGCTGAAAGCAGCAGCAGCCAAGCTAGAAAAATATGTTGAACATTACAAAGTAACTGAATTTGGTGCAGACAGTCATAAAGAAAATGATTTATCAGTATGTATAAATCAAAATCAAACCCAGCATGCCGAAGACCAATTTTCTCTTCCCAAGCTTCAATCAAACAGCAAAGTACAGAACTCAATACAGCAGCCATCTGAAGATTTCGGTTCTTCAGTACAAGATGCCGCTGTTATCAAGGAAGAGACAGGTAATGCATACTTTCACTGTAATAATGAAATCAAGAGAAATGCTAATCTATCTGACTCAGGGGAGAGTGATATAACCTTAGGAACAGCTTTACAAATCACGGACAATACTGAATCGTGCCATCAAATGTCATCCTCAACAAATGACAAGAAATGTAAATGTAGTGAATTATTTGTATTGCGATCTTCCAAAGAATGTCAGACTGAGATTTACGTCACCAGCACTGGAATGGAAACTGATGTGATTAATGGCGTGTCCGTGGGGATACAGTGTGAGCTGCTTCCTGACGGCTGTGATTGTAAATTAGAGGACCCAGAGAGCCAGGACAGCTTCCATAGCGTGGCGTCTGACCTTCATTTAGAAAACACTGATCAAAATGATGTAAAACAAACTTATCATCTTCGATCCAGGAAAAAGATTTAAATTTAACTCAGTTTGTTAAAAAATCAGTAAACGAGCTTAATATAACAATAAATTGTTTAATATAAAAACATTTGCATTGTACTTTTCAATCCTAGTGTCTTTAACTTATTTACAATTTTCAATTTGATAATGACAACATGCCTACTAATTAACAATTGTAAATTAGTTAAAGGCTCTAGTATATTTATTACATGAAATTTATAGAAATAAAAATGCTGAATTTAGATTAAATAAATGCATTTCTTGTTTTTCAGGTGCACCAATTGAAAAGGGGTGGGAAATTGTTTAAACTTGTTCTGTTATTCCTGTATCACGTGATTTGTTTCAATTAATTTCTAGTTATGTCATTTACACTTGTCTCATAAATTCACAGTGATTATATTTCATCTACATCTTTCATCTACGATCGCAAAATCCAACGATTTTTTTTGATAGCGGTTTGTGATGCCTTTGGTCTTTCTCATCTCATCAATCAAGATATTGTACTTTCCATAACGGTTAATGCAATAACAGAGCTGCTCAAACATTCTCAGTCTGGTGAATCAATTTCAGACTCCCTGCCGTCTCTATTTAGTCCACGTATGTGAACATACTGTATATTTTCCACGTTATAGTCAATTTTGGGGCCTGTACCACACCAAGGTCTTGCAAACAAACCTTCCACTTCTTCAAGAGTTTTTCCTTTGGTTTCAGGTAGGAATAACACCAACACAATAAGGCCAATTAAAGCAAGTCCGCTATACAGCCAAAATGTGCCTTTCAAAAAAAGGTTTTAAATTGGTTAAAGGAGACATTTAAAAAAATTATCTGTCCTTGACCTAAAGATAACATAAACCTTTTCATAGGCGTCGGAACTAACCCCCCCCCCCCCCACACACACGCACACTTTTTTTGCAAATATATATTATTGGTACTGAAAATTAGGGTTTACCTTTTTTTGTTGGCTTAGCCCCTCCCCCCTTTCAATTTGCTTCCGACGCCTATGATTTTAATACTGCTTTTACATATGTAATAAAGTAATAGTCATGATATCTTCTATATCAAAATTCAAGTTACTTGGTAAAATTTTAAAAAAAAAGTTTCATACCAAACCGTGTGAGTGCTTGAGTTAAGCTTAAAAAAGACATAGACATGGCGAGGTTAACTGTCCAGTTTGTGAATGTGGACGCCGCATTGCCCGCGCTTCTAGCCCAGGAAGGGTAAATTTCTGAATTGATTGTCCAAGGCATTGGTCCCATACCTAAAATGTAATTTATTTACTTCATAATTACATGTACTTGCTTTTAGATGAATTCATTCAAAACTGCAGTAAAAGACATAACTTAATGTTCATTGATACTCCGATAAGAGAGAGAAATAAGACAAATGTCCATTGAAATGTCTTCATTGTTCAATTTTGTCCCGCAATTTATGCTTTATTAAATAAAACGTCTTTTGAAAAAAAAAAAAGAATTAAAGCATGATTACCTGGAGCAAAGAACATGAGGTAAGCAACCAGGCCTATCATTGGCATCCAGTAAAACTTTGTAGGACAGTAGTCATAAGCCCACGTAAGATCTCCTTCTAAATGAGTATCGTTACACCGACCAGCTACAGCCTTAAAAGGCTCATCATAGTTTGCTCTCAAGCACGTCCCATTTTCTGGTCCATTGTCAGAGTCAATGTAACAGTAGCCACAGTTTAAGTCCCGCATGCATGAATTACAGTCTCTGTAAAATATTAGAACCACACACTTGTAGGAAATGAATATTGTGAAGCGCCACAAGGAGAAGTAAAATGAAATTGATTCTTTAATTTTTTCTGAAGACAGTAGAACCCGTCTCAGAAAAATTATGTATGATATTATACATATAATTAAAGCAATCTTAAGGATGGATGAAGCAAACCAAAATTAGATGCCTGGATTGGTATATATTTTTGGACGTATTTTGGATGTTAATGATGCAAATTAAAAAAAATCTAAAATATTAAGAAACTCCCATTTTTTAGAGACTTCAAATGAAATCAAAGTCTTAATTTACCATGGCAAGTAATATTCAAGATTTTTTTTTAAAAGTTTGCTTCTTCTTTCTTTAAGATATAATCTTGGGCCCTGTTTTATTCAGCTAAACTATATACGATTTTAGTACATTCCTGTTAATCATTTCCCAAAGTGTCCTGATCAAGTCAGTTTTCTCTTCCATATTTCGCCAATCAGTGGACCCTTAGTTTCAAAAAAGTTTGACATGTGGACCCTGACTCACAAATATGTTTGACATTTGGAAATCGTTGCAGTCTGTTCTCTTAGCGTAATAGGAGTCGTGTTCATTGCAGAGAGTTGAAACCCAATGGCTAACCAAGCTAGACTCACAATTGCCCCTAAAACAAAGTCAGTATGAATTAACTTTTGACAGCAATACTACTTTGACAAAATCACCTCAATGACACATTGAACATGTTTATGTTGAGTATTCATGAGATTAAGTAACATTTTGAATCGAAGAGTTTGTTTAGTCAAAAGTTCACTGAATTTATTGCTCTCAAACTGAAAGTCAAGACTCACTATGAAAAATTTAAATAATTTGCTTTTATGTTAAACCTATAAGACTGCCAAGTGTTAGCGCTCTTCTACCAATCCTCTCCACCAAGAATAGCCCATGTTGTAACGAAATTAACTGCTGCCGTAAAGGCTGACAACCAAATGGTGCTTGGTCCATCCCCCCGGACACCGGACATCCGTATTATTGTGGCACTGTAATACCTAATGGAGCAAAGATCGGTAATGTTATTCAAAGAAATGTAAATAATTTTACTTGAAAGCAGGTTGTTTTAAACAATATACTATGGTTTGATATTTTTTTTTTGTTAGAATAACCATTTCTGATGTTAATGTGGTTTAACAAGAGCTCATTATTAG